ATCTTGTACAGATGGGAACAGCTCATCTGTAAAAGTATTTTCTTTCTTTCTTGTCTTTTATATTTTTTTATTTCTTGTCTTTTATACTTTCGTCAAAGGAGAAAGGCTCTTGAGGCTGTTCCGCTTCTGAGGACAACTGTACAGAACAGGACTGAGGGCGTTCGGCACTGCATCCGTCATCTCATTCATTTGTGGTAACTGCAGTGTCCGGAAACCGCGAATGAAACGATGGGAAAGCCAGGATCGCGTTATCCCCCGTTTAAGGGAGCGGAAGTTCAAGGGAAACGTTGTTGCGGCGGTAGCGGCAATCACGACTTGATTCCGATTCGCGGTCAGTGCACAGCTAAGATTTCTGATGGTATAGAGATGGCTATCTTGTTGTCAATTTAGGAGCTTTCGAGATGAACGAACAGGCCCATTTGGCCATGTTTTCAATCGAACCTTTCTACGAGGCGTTCAAGTGGACGAAGCCCGCCATCGAAAACGTCTATCAGTCGCAACAACGTCTGGTGACACGATTAGGAAGAAGTATGAGGTACTGTACGTGCTTTGAACAACCACCACCACACATTAATATTTCGTGATTGCAGGAGGGAGAGGGCCTCGATTTGGCAGCTATTGGAGCATACGACAGTCGAGGGTATTCGACTATGATTGGGAAGGTGGTGCTGTCAGATTTGCATACATTAATTTGATCCTCCATTGTGAAGTGCTCCATAGATCGGAAACGGGTGAGGCGCATATGAAAAGCACCGTAACTTTTTACAGCAAAATTGTTTGTTGCCGAGGACGTTAGTACGCGCATGGAGGTTGAGGGCATGAAACGTCTGTTGCGGTGGGTGGGTGGATGCGGATTCCGAGTGTCGTCGTTGACGACCAGACCGCAACCGCGCCATGGGCGTCATGCTCCGAGAGTTAGAGCCTGAGCTCGGGGCTGCCATTCGTGCATTATTATACGGTTGGTACCTGAAGAAGTGGCTGGGCAATGAGTTCAGGAAGGTAGGAGAAGTTCACTGAAGAATCGATGTCGCATTACTTCGTTTAGGCGTCCAAAGTGGGATAGGATCGACATGTGGACGGAGAAGACGCAGACGTGGCTGTGACAACTTTTAAAAAACGGCTTTGTGGCGTCGGGGCCAATCCCAGGGCCTTGTTCAACACATGCCTGATGCACGTTGTGGGCGTGCATCGATGGCCACGGGTATGTCGTTTTGTAAATTACTGTTTCATCACACTTAGTTGAAAATCTTACAGGCAGGGTCAACCCTACGTTGTTACGAGTAACAACGGGGGGTCGTACTCAGTTGAGCTTGGAGGGGGGTCGTACCCTCTCGGTGGCCGACAGTGGGATTCTTGGTAATATCGGATAATAGCCAGCACGTTACGTTTTCGTAAGATGACTGATAGAGCATCTATAAACCACGCTTCCCTCTAAATGAGCTTTCAAATGAATCAGCGAATTAGAAGGGCGCCCGAGGCGTGGCGCGCACCAAGGCAAGGGATGTAGTGCAAGCGCATGCTCGAAGCTTTCTAGCACATCCTAAATTAAACATGAAATTGGTCTTCCAAGAAGTTACGGGCAGTGAAACCTAAGAAAACCCGCGTTTTCGAGAAAATGGCTTGAAGAATACCCCTCAAAAAAAAAGTAACAACGGGACTAATTTTTGAACTGCTGATCTTTCAGGAACGCTTGGGTGCTCGTTAGAAAGCTTGAATCCTGTAGTTTATTATACCGTGTTCAGCTTCCCAAATGAATGACTTTGAAGGAAGTTATGATCGTTTGAAGGTCAAAAGTCGCCTTTGCACAGAAAAAAGTAACAACGTACTAAATTTTTATTAAATTAACTTTCGAAGAATTTTTACCCATGGTTGGAGAGAGAATAATTTGAATTTTCCAAATCAAATCACTTCGGCGCTGAAGCTCGAATATGAAGGAAGTTATAGCCCTAGAAAGAGGAGTGTAAAAATTCTCTTGCAATTTTATTTTTTGCCTAATAACTTATTCATTCCGAAGTGTTTGAGAAAAAATGGAGCACTCGTTAGGAAGGAGGAGCCACGTCGATCCAAATCCACCGATATCTTCCGGACTACCTGAAATTAAACAAAAAAAACTCCTAAACTTTTCACATTCCCGTTCGACGGCTCCTCACCGTGAGCAAATGCGCTCCACCGTCAGGAGGACAAAAGGGCGCCAACCAAGCACATTCACTTCGTCTTTTTTGTATTGATTTTCGATTGATTCTTCGGGGGCGTATTTCGCTTTATCGTTTTTCTAGTTCATCTTGCTGTTCATCTAGTTTTTTATCCTTGTGAAAATAGGGGAATTACTGTAGGCAGTTCCAACTTCAGCACTAGCTCTCCCCGTTCCCTTCCCTCCCGCACCCGCTCCTCGCAATACATAGACACTAAATTCTAATAGTTGTGGAGGAAATTCTCGCGGCTTCGCATTTCAAGCTTTTTCAAGTTTTATCAGTTTTATGCTATTTGAGAAAACCGAACCATTGCCTGACTGAAAGGGCAAGAAATTTACTGGTTGCATTCGGGAATTGGTGTATAACGCCAATTTTCACTTACGTTACCTTGGTTAGTTTACTTGTTGCTACATAAATTCAAGACGCCGAGTTTTTCTTGACCGAGTTTACTTTGAAGTATATTCTAGAACCCCCGAGGTTCATTCAAAACTACAAAATTTTTGTGCTTGCTCAATCTCAGGGAAACAATCTGAATCGTCGTCAGTTTTGATTTCACAGATTCATTTTTCCAAAATTCAATGTATGTGAAGACTTGTCAGTCCGTGATATTTGAAGACTTGTCCGTGATATTTTTATTGAGAAATTCGCTAGTATTCACCAGGACAGAGGGCGTACTTTTTCGCGTTTCGCACGCTGATCATTCTCACAGTAAGAATCTCGTGTCCACTGATGATCAGCAGTACCTGCGGTTTTCGCAGCGAAAAATGTTTCGCGCTGCGCAACGCGAAAAAGTACGCTTCTCTGTTTTAGTGAATCACACCCAGTTAAGTAAGCCGGTTCTGAGTGGGTTGAGGGGGGACCCTTCGGAGTACACGGATACCTTTGAATGCATCTCATTTTTTTTTCGTGTTCGGAAGCAGCGATGAATATCTGTCGTGGATTTTGCTAAAGTTTCATCTTTGATGACTTACGTAGAAATAAATATTGATGGTAAACACTGTCTCTACACAAGTGTTACATACAAAGGGGGGGGGGTCGTATCAAACCACCCAGGGGGGGGTCGTAAAAAATTTCCGAAGAGTAACAACGATAGGGTTGACCCTGCTTACAGGATCCGCTTACCGGCCCGTACACTCGCTGCAGCCACGCTCCCCTCCAGGGTCCACGGCCCAAGGGAAGAACCCGCATTCTAAAGCGTATGAGGCGTTCCGAGGAGTCCTCCTCACTAGGTCTTTCCAAAACAGACATTGCGCGAGGCAGCCCACATGGAGGCACCTCCATATGTGAGGCCAAAAACGCATTGGATAGACTGTACTGTCCCAAGGAAATATTCTTTCCGATTGCGACATACCCGTCTCATAACATGATGGCCACAATGCATATGAATACTTTGCGGCTTGCGGAACTGAGCGTGGAAAGAAGAGTGCTGAAGAGGGTGGTGGTCCAGCCGAAGTACCTAGATGGGACGTCCATGCTGGTTCTAAAAACTCCAGCCAAAACATGTTTGCGAAACTCAGCAAGATGACTTCGGTGTGAATGAGCGTCCTTGAGGACGCCTCATAGCCACCAATCGAAGGGTCTCAGCAGTTAACCTCAATGGCAGATTTCATAGTTTGCGAATCGTTGGATCTGAGTGTTGCGCCAGTTAGTCGACAGCGACCACCACTTTCACAGCGTCTACTCGACAGGTTAGACGCTGGTTTGAGGGAAGTGGCGACAACTTGACAGTGGAAGCAAGTTTGTAATGGTTATTGGTTGGTTGCCCTCGTTCCCTTTGTAACGGTTGAAGTCCCTGTGCTCGACTTATGTATGTGTGATCCTGATATCTTATGTTCAGATTCGTGGTACATCGTCTCGACTCATCGCTCGTGCATCGTTCTCGCTTCGAGTTCGGTGTTTGTGTGCGGCAAAGTTGTTCGATTCGTTTGTTCACCAGTTGTCTCGAATCTCGGTCGATATTTTTCCAAACTTGATTTATCATCGAGATGGGAGGAGCATATAGGTGTCGCGTCGTTGTAACCTAAATGGATGAAGCTAAGATGGTGTTATACGAATACCAAAGTGCCAACAACAGTGGTGTTTTTGTAGCGTTGGGTGGGGTGGGGTTGGGTTTGGTGGGGTGCGTTATCTTCAGCTGGTATGGTTTTTGTCAGTTTTTAGTTGGGGTGGATGTTGGGGGGTTGTGTAGGTTTTTTTGGGTTTGTGTTGGGTTTTTGGTTGTGTAGTGGGGAGGTAGGGGTTAGTTTCTGGGTGAATATTGATGATATTATTGGTTTCTTTTTAGAAGGGGGGTGTTTTGTGGGGGTGTTGCATAAGGGATGGGGTGTTGTGGGGTTTATTGTGGTGCCAACAACAGTGGTTAACTCGTCCAAATTTGAAATCAACGTGGGAGAAAAATGCCGTTTTCGGGTTTTTGACCAATCTGCTTTCCACAGGTGTACCATTTGACATCACCGCATCCACATTTCAATGGTATCAGCTTATCGCGAGTTTTGTCTCTACGCATGTTTACCCTAGTGAGAAAACTAAGCCCCCTTAGTTACAAAACTAGCCCTCTTGTCCACCACCAGTTCGTCTGGCACAGTCCAACCCGAGCTCTGTATCGCGAACGTGGCCATATTGACGAACAAAAATACAAATCCTGGGAGAGATCATACGAATATTTACTTCCAAAACACAATGCGAAAATTTCGGAGATCTGTGGTGGAACCTTAATGTCCAAATGAATAGTGAAAGTACAAATTCAAGCAAATCTGATAAAATGATGGCGACACAGGAAAATCCCTAGAAACACTCCTATTCCACATATCAAAAAAGGGAAGGTGGAGGTAGGTGAGCTATTCCTTGTCGATCTGAAAGGAACTCCCATAACAGTACAGTTAAGCGAAGCAACTCGATCTCGAAGAGACGTAGATGCAGTACCTAAAGACTGCAGCAGACGAAACAGCTGTTTTTTGTTTCCATCATCCTAAACAGGCATTTAGTTTGAAAACACGGAAGTTCTGAAATCAGAACGTATTGACACCTACAGCAAAGCTCGCCGCAGTCACCTCATCCTTATTGCAAAGCTCACGAATATTATTTCTAAAAGCATACGAATTAGTAGAGTTGTTCCCAGCTTTCATATGTATCAAATCACGTAGGAAAGAAAGTAAAAAAAAACTCACTCATGTTTAAGCAGCTCCCGCTGCATGACAAGAAGATGCAAATTGATGTTGCACAGTAGATCATACGTTTGCAGAAGAGAATCGCCCACAATCCTGCAAGATGACAGCTCAGTTTTTTCTTCGAGTTTCTTGAGTTGACTACATTATTCTGACGTTTTTGACGATTTTGACTTTTATTTGTCTTATTCATTGATTGACCTTATAAACTGTCGGGCAGAAGTAGCGGAAATTCGCAGCTCAATCAGCCAGACTAACCATAAGTAGACCTTGCACTGACATATTCGCTTTGAATCTTGGTTAGGAAAAAAGGAAGGAATTGAACACCGGCTAGTTCCTGGAGTCATCATCACATCAAGTTTTTCGACGGAAGTTGAAGACGAGAAAACGCGGTCACGCATTGTTGGTCAACAGCTACAACATTATGCTCATTGATACCGCATTCGTTTCATGTGAGCGCACAGTATTAGGGCTTTTATTCCCTTCATCAACCATTTGGAAGAATCAAAAGCTCAGGTGATACGAAAAATGAAGAAATACGCAGCAATGGTGTATTATCGAGGTCGTAAAGGCTAACGTGTCATGGAAGTTCATCACAACGATGTAAACAATCTGTGCTCACCAACCAGTATCTAACCAGTATTGGTGAACAACCGCAACCTGATCAACTACGGCCTACCACGATTAATTCAAAATTCAAATAAAATGAAAGTAACTCGGATACAGTACTGATGTGAGCACAAGCACTTAAAATTGTCGAGGACAACGTTTGCGTAAAGTGTACCACATAATTACAGAAATCCAAATAAGGATTATTTTTCTTCCGTTAGTTTCTAAATAAAGGACATTTAGGATGAATAAAAGTTTAAAGCGTTAGTTGTGTTTATATAGTGAAAAAGTTTATAAACCTGTGATGTTGTTCTGAGAATTTAACACGACCCGTGCAGAAACTCTAGTTTTTTTTTCTTGAAATGACCCGGCCGTTCGGAATCTATTCTCCATAAGCAATAAGTGGTCGGTGCACAACATTTCTACCTTGAGAATTTCTTCAGAACTGGTACTGGTACAGAACTGTACAAAATTTGTTTCACAGAGACTGTTGTAAACTCACAGTCCTGCATGATCAGCACCCAAACCGCTAAATAACGAAGTAGAATTCCACTCGTCCGTCAGTTCTCTGTTCAGTTGAGTGGCAAGAAGTGTACCGTCCTTCTCACTGAACTGTAAAATCTTACAATAACTTCTCGAAATTGAACAATCAACACACAGTGACAAAAGGAAAAGACAGAAAGATGGAACGATTATTCAACCAATATACGTACCTTATTGAATAACTTTTCCACTTCTAATGGAGAAGTTCCTGACTGCTCGGTTAATAAGACAGCCTCTTTGCTACATTTAGCCCGAACAACGGTTTCAACGGCGAAGCTCTTTGGTGACTCCGAGCTTACATCAGTTCGCAAAAATGAGGTGGAAGCAGGTACTGCACAGGTTGTACTGTTCTCTTGCAAACTTCCTGCCGGCTAAAAATAGATCTCACAAAAAATGGAAAGATGATGTGGAATTTGAAAAAACCAAAACAATCCAAAGGTTGACTACATAGTAGCGAACCAACTAGAAAACAAAGAATGTTGGAAGAAGAGAGCGAACGATTGGCTAGTCAACCAGATTAGCGGTGTTGTAGCAAAATTAACCTGGAGAATGAAAAATGTATGCAGAGAAGGAACAGATGGTGAGTGGGAGCGAGAGACCAGAGAGCTGACTTCAATGGATATCGCACGAGAGACTGCTGCCGCTGGCTGCGATTCTTTTACAATCCATTCGAAGAAAGGAAAGGAAATAACCCTTCCAGCAGATAAGTGAACTTGCGCGGCTAGTTCAAAGCAGAACTTCAAGAACTTTTGAACGTTGTAATTGACCGGAAACCTGTGTTCGGGTGAAATTATATTTGTAGAGGTGAAAGAAAATCGAGTACCTTAGGGACAAAGAAATCCACATCGCCGACTTCATTCTGCTCGTCAGCTCGTTGAGATATTTTTCTTAAAAAAAAAAGGTTTTTTAATAGATGATATTTCGGGCGCTGCTCAACTATAACAACTTCCACATCTCAAAATCGTTGAAATTTCGGGGTTTCGATGTTCGGATAACCAGCAAGCAAATCATTTTGGCGTCGGCTTCAGCAAGGCGCCACACCGTTTTTCATCGAAATCGTAAAAATTGGATGTAGGGGTAATTCAGTGCTTAGTGTCATGGTCTTGATAAAAGCACTGAACAACCTCCATGCGTAAATTTGCAGCTTTTTAAGGTGAGAACACGTGCGGAGCCCGATTGGATGAACTCCTGAAACAAAAGGTATCACTTATTATCTCAAAACGCTGTATTATTCTAACACGAAGTTGAGAAACTAAGTGTTCTCGGGATCTCGGTGTGTTGCAGTCGAATTGTCCACCTATGGTCTCCTTATGTCTAATACAAAGTCCAAGTGAAAACCGGTAATGTGGCTACCTTGTCAGGTAAACTATGCACGTGCCGTGCATTTGACTCTCACTCACCGTAGAAGCATTCGAATGACATTCGTCTCACACAACAGAGGCACTGGATCAAAAGATCAGTATGTCACTCATAGCACCCACTGCGCGCTGCATTCCAAAATACGCCTTTATAGAAAAAAGTATAGGCGATTGAACTGATTACAGATAAGAATGGGTCAGAATATGATCTTGTGATGACCTTAGTGCGTCTAGCTAGGTGTGACAGCAAGCACGGGATAAACTCCCTACTTGATGACGCGTTGATTTTCAAGTTTTGGTAGACTAAGAGGTTAACCTGGAAAAAAATCAAAAAAATACTGTTTGGGAGGATAGTAGATCCTGAGCCTTCAGCCGAAGAAAAAATGCGTATCTAACCTTTACGCTGAATCCCCTGCTTTCTTATATCCTGATCCTCCAATCTCGCAAAACATTAGGCGGGCATTGTTCAAGTTGAGAGCGTTTCCACAAAATTAACCGATTCTCTAATTTGTAAGGCGCTGATTCATAAACGATTTCCGATTTTGAGAGCACAGACAATCCCCAGTGTCCATAAATTCGAATATAAAGCTTCAATGAATATAGCTGCAAACAATCATGAGAGAGTAGTAATTTAACACGGAAGGGGTTTTCAGAATACCTTTTTCACAGACACTATTTACGGCAGCCGTGTTGGCATACTCGAAATAATCGGTTTGGTTGCTTTGCTTTTTCGCCAGCTGGTGAAAAAAAAACCAGGTTCTTAGTGACTCGCTACCTTCTGGCTGCATAATTGACACGTTCTAGGAAGTGCTGTGACCATGGCTTAGCGGAATCATCTATGTACACCTATCGGTGAAACTCGGGTTCGGGGGGAGGGCACGCGATGGCGCGGCGCTCTGTTCGTCTGCTCCTCCAAGGTTTAGTCCACATCGACAGTTAGGCTGGTGTCAGAGTCCGCGATCCGCTCTTCGCGATTTTCGCGATTTGCGCGATTTTCGCGAAACCTGCGATGGATCACAGGAGTTGGAAGTGCCCGATGAATACTGCGAGGTGTTGTTTAATCCTGCTGCGAATTCTGCTTGGCAGTAAGGCCGATGTCATAGTTTGCGAATCGAGCGATTCGCTAGCGAATCGCTGGATCCGAGCGTTGCGCCAGCGAATCGAACGTTGCACCAGCGAATCGAACTTTGTACCAGCGAGTCGAACTAGGTACCAGCGACTCAATAGTGGCGGGACCCAACGTTCAAAGGAAGCCCGCCACTTTCAAACAGTGTCACGTGACAGTGGACGCTGTTTGAAAGTGGCGGGACTTGACAGTGGCCCAAATCATGTACACGATCCCGTCGTTAATAGTACGAACGACCATTGGCCCTGATCGACCTTCGTTGTGCCGCTTCAAACATTTCATGACTC